TTAGAACGTTCTGCTGTCGGGTTTGGCTCGCTAGTTACAGGTACCTATGTATCTTTTTTTTAGACTCTCGAGTTTGCTGGTGAATGAGGAATGCAAACAGCTCGATTCCAAGACCCATGTCCCAAACAAACAAGCAAATAAATAAATAAATATGCAAGCTGCGTTCTGTATGAAAAACACACAAAAAAGATACGGCCGACGCGAGTTGATGTAACAACTCTATTGACAAAGGGTTTCGGAGCCCCCATTCTATTCTTGGACCTACTGAATGCTAATCAACTCCATACCGTTAAACCTTTTATACCCGCAAGTGATAAACGATTGGGGATTACTTACCATTTGCCGACATGTCTGCGCCCTGTATATATCACTCACGCCGGATAAACTCTGGAAGTATTTCTTTGTCCCATAGACGGTGTCCATTTTTCCACCGTTACAATTCCAGTCGCAGGGTCTGAAAAAGATAGAAAATTTGGGGGAACTATTGTTAGCAGTTTTCTTCACTTTCGTTCTTCGGTCTTTGCTTTCTTTTGGGTCCACTTGGAGTGATCCGTGCTCGGGATCAGGCTGTGAAAAAGAGTCACTAATGGGCCAGCATGCCGGAGAACCGGCTAATCCTGTTTCCCAGTCCATTAGCCAAGCGAAAATTCTCACTTTTCGCCAGGGAAAAGAGGAAAAGAACTGCGCACAATAGCAATGAGATATGCATGCCGTTAACCGGTTTGATTTGCATTTGCATTTTCCAAGCTACTCAAAAGTATTCAAAGGAGTAGTTACACACAAGGAAAAATGTTTGTAGTGTCATAGAAATTCCTGAATATATTTTTACTCAAATGAAATTTATGAGGCCACAAATTATAAGACTCCCAATAATAAAACATTTCCCAGAACAAAGAAAGTTAGCTACGAAACACAGCAGTCCTTAAGAACGCCTTGCTTTTCTTAGCAAATGAAGACATTTCTCATGCTAATAAAAATTCAAGCCACGTTCCACCTTCTCAATGAAAGAAGGTATCAGATAAGTTTCATAATTAATTGAACATAACAACAGACCAAAGTGAAGAGCTCTCCAGTGACCAGTCGTAAAAAGCGAAAGCTCTCCGTGGCATAAACAAAAAATTTAATTAGAGAATTGCCCGACACTCCGATACGCTCAATGGTTGAGCCCTACAAATTTGGAATTTTCACTTCATGGGAAGCCCGGCTCCAGCATAAAGAACCCACTCCGAATGGCTTAAGTACACAGCAGATGGGCTGGCGATGGAGTGGGTTGGAAACCAGTTCTCCACTTCCAACACCGCATCCAAGATGGGCTGCGATGGGGTCGGGTTATGGCTTGTTCCGCCGGCATATACACATGTAAGATCTCGGTAGTTATGAAGCCACAATGTATGGTTTAGTTATACATGTGCAATCAAAGGCAAAGTTCAGCCGCGGAGAAACGTGTGTAAAAATAGTTTTTTTCGGTGCGGCAAGCCGCGGGCTTCAGATAGTCTTTTCTGTGGATGGATGATCATGGGGCCTGAGCTTTTCGAGCTGGCAAAAGTAAAAGTTCTGTTATTTTTCGGAATGCCTTGATGATGGGCTCTGGCCGACGAGGAGAAACTAACTCAGGTTTCTGCAGAAGCCGCTTTGTTGGATCATCAGAAATCGAACACAAACTTAATGGATTATGCAAAATGGCATAGTAATAGGTCTAGAAATGGGCTGCGAATGCCGCCGACCCTTGCTGTATTTGTATGAGCCCTCTAAATCTTACTTGACTTCAACTTGCAACAGATTACTCCCATTGAATCATTGGCCTGCATGAGTAGTTCTAAAAGAGCATTAATCTTTGTGTTTATTCCTTTCCTGGTAACCCCAATTAACTGTAAACGTAGGCCCGGAATCTCTGTCATCGCCGCCACTTCCCATTGAAATGGAACGGAAACCCATTTGCCTAATAAAAAGAGCGCCAAAAACGCGCTCAAGCTGGCAGAAAATGAGGCAAATTGAAGAACCACTGCAATTAGAATGGAGGTACACATGTTCCAGTGTGTCTATATGGCTGGGCTCCAGGGGGAATCCACTCACCCTCCACCCAAAACAGTTAGAACGCTTGGGGAGCCATGGCCATCGCCATCGCCATCGCCATCTCCGTCGTCAGCGTCATCCTCATCGCCGTGGCCAAAGCCATAGCCACCAGCTTTTGACCTAGATGCGCATGCGCGGAGCCACGGGGAATAGGAGGTGCGGGGAGGCGTGGTGGTGAAGCCCGGAGACGGCCCAAACCAAAACTGGTAACTTGTGCTCGTCTCCCAGTACGTACTCACAGTGGCGGACAAAGAAATAGATTCAGTTCCATGTGTAAAGCGAATACATCCAGAAAATATAAAATATAATTAAAGAGTCCATAAAATATTAATTCATAAACAAAAATAACCTTATATCTGCGGGTATAACAAATATAAAATGTACATATAATATTTCTTCTATTGCTTCTACTTTTACCATCTTGTCCTCAGTTGTATTCACGTTGATGTACTTTGGAGAAAGAAAGAATAAATTGGCTTGCGTCTGAACGGCGTAAAAAGTTAACCAAAATACAGAAATAAAACGAAAATATTGCTGGCACACTCACTTGCACGCAGAATTTTTTTCGTTTTTTATTTCGATTTAGGCATTAAGTATTAAGACGTCGACGGCCACGCATAAGTTGATTAAATTTCTCGCATTAGCCGATTTTCACTGTCCGAGAGAAATTGCTGGACGAAAAAGCGTCAAAGAATGATTGATGAGAATTTGATCTGAAAAGTCAGACAGTTGTCGGTCTGCAGGTAGCTATATGGGCTATATATATAGCTGCAAAATGTCTAACGGAAGTCGGCCGTTAACCCGTTGGCACGTTTAACCCATTGCGGCTGATATCTGGCCAAATGCGATGCGATTTTCGGCCAGATTAAGATTCCCAGCCACTTTCAATCATAAAAGCCTCGCCGACAAAGTGTCGAAGAAAGTGAAATGTGACAGGTGCTTTTCGGGAGGGGGCGAGTTATTTTATTTATTTTTTTTTACAGGTGAGGCATCGATGTCAATGGATGCTTATCGGAAAACGACGGTGAAATGGAAAGTTCATTTCGAGCGCATCGAAAACTAGGCGAGCTTCTCATTGAATCATCCGAACAATGCAGCCGTTTTGATTATTTATCAAGCCTGTGACTTTTGTTTGATTTGGAAAGTGATCGCCAATTTGGCAGCATCATTTGGAGGCTAGAAAACCGCTAGCCATATGTCATAATTGATGGCTCAATTTCAGCTGGGCCCTGTGCAAATTTATGCAATCTTCTTTGACTGCTTTCTTTTCTTTAACGAAAACTACGTACAACAGTCTAATGTAAACAGAGCGGGTACAGTTGAAATTCGTTATGAAATGCAATGAAAATGCAAGAAAAGTTGACTCAGATTTTAAAAGTACGTAATTATACCGCACAAAAACTTAAAAAGATATGTACACAATTTTCGTTTGGTTAGAAACTTTTCAATAAATGCTCAACTATTTTTTGAATTTATTTAAAACAATATGAATATAAGAGTTCTAAGAGTATGTATAATTAATAAGGTTCCGCTGTCTTCCTCAAGAAAACCCAACAAACGTTGTTTACTGAACCCACTGCATTTCAACCGATAGCCACTGTACAACACCGAACAAAGTAACGTTGCCGCTAATTGTGTGATAAATTAATTAAAATGTTTGTGGCCATTAGGGAATGAATATGTATGCGTTGAAAGCAATCTGTGCAGCGTTTGCAGTTTCGTAATCGCTCTAACGGCGCCAGCTACCAGGCTCTTACTGGAGCATGACCACTTTATAGAGATGGTGGAAGGAAGCACCCCACATACGTACATATGTGATGGAGTGGGTACTCTTTGGGTGCTCAGAAGCACTCGGCTTGGATACAAAGTAAGGCACTCAGTGCCCAACCATTGCGGAACTAAGAATGCACTTCATTTCTGCGACAAACGGAGGGGAAAAGTTGACAAGAACGAAAGGAACGTAAAGAACACAAATATATTATAACATGAAAAGAGTGGAGTTGTAAAGAGTGTTGGTGTTGGAAATAGCAATTAAAAGCATTCACCGCTACGCCTAAAGCGCCGACCAAACTAATTAAAAACAAACAAATCCGCCAGGTTTGATTCTCACATGTGAGCTCTCCCTGCGAGAATTATTCGGAAACTTGATTACTCACTAAACGCAGAACTTTGCCCACTCGAGGGCCGACTGTACAGGGCGCCCCATCGAAGGTGAAAAGTGTCAAGTCAGGTGGCCAGCACCGTTAGGCTGAGGTAACAGTATTAACAACAGTGCTAAATGCCGGATAGGTGACTTGTCGGCCAAGATGGGAGCTCTACCAACAATGTAGCGGGTGAATTCGTTCCATATTACTTGGGGAACTTATATCAATATCTTGTGAAATCGCCACTGTTTGCAAACTCATTTCATTTCCGATCCCAATTAAGAGGAAGTGATTCTAGCTCGAATCCAAAATAGAAAACTTATATTAAAAATAAATTAGTAGCCATAATCTTTGAAACATAGGTGTTCTTATGCTGATTTTTTATATAATAGTCTGTTTATTAATGTCGATAATCGTGTTCTGGTTTAGAAATTCTTAAAATATGTTAAAGCATAGTTTAGGTAATTTATAAACAATTTGATTGACAGTATTTTTTCTTGATAAGACCAAATTGATTTTGAATAGTATTATCTCTAATTTGATGATTTTCGGCTGAGCTAATTTGGGATGGTTTTAATGGATACATAAATATTTTATAACCATCTGCCAGCTCTGCTGCTTAATGCCGATTTGGTCGTGGATGTAATAACTATATTTAAAAAATCGAACTATCCCGGTATAAAGAATAACTGCATTATTTCAATTTTAATTGAATTAACTGTTTATAAATAAAGTGTTGTTCAAGTTTATTACCCAGTTTTATATATACACCAAAAGGATATAATGGCAATTCAGCTGAACTTGTTCGTCGCCTTTCTGATTTTTTTTACATATTATTTCACACAGGTAAGAATTTTTTTTTACTGAATAACCATATTTAATGAGCTACTTTTAGGCTTATTCCCTAGTGGAATTTACAAACGCACAGTGCGAGTCGCTGGATAAGGATTTTGCCTTATTTGAATCCTGCTTTCTGAAATCTGTAAACCGATCTTACAAATATCTTTCCCTTAAAGTTAAACTTCTAAAGCTACCCATAACCAAAGTTAAGGTATAATAATCTAATTATATTTTAAGCGATTGTAATAGGTTTTTTTTTATTAATTCAGGTGCGTATAGGTCTTTATAAACGGGTGAATGGCTATTTGCCTTTTCTATACAATATGACTGTAGACGCATGCAGATTCCTGAAATCGTCGAATCCCAATCCGATTGCCCTTTATTTTTACACTTTTTTCAAAGACTATTCCAATATGAACCACACTTGTCCCTATAACGTAGGTATACCCGAAGTATATAAAGAAACTTTATGTTATATTTATATTACATTCATTTCAGCATGATATCGTTGTGGATAAGATGCCATATCATAATATAAATAATATGGTAACGAAAATACTACCCTTTCCGGAGGGGAATTATATGCTTGAATTGCACTGGATAGCCTACGATATTTGTCGAGCTATAACTAAATTCTATTGGGCCCTCACCTGATAAGAAAATACCATCAAAATCAATGGCAAGACACCATAAAAATACAATTGTAATGCAAATAATGTATGTTAATTTTAAAACTATTGTAATTAAGAGCTTATTTAAATCTATTTGTGTATTGGTGGTGGATGATATGTAAAACAATCTTCTGTAAACTGTTACATTGCTAAGTAAGCCAACAGTGCCCTATAGTCGAGTTTCCCGACTATCAGATACCCGTTACTCATCGAGTGGGAGTGCACAGTAAAGTGGTCAAAACATTTTTGGCATATCGCTGGAAGCTGGCAACACAAATAATAAATTAAAGTAAATTGCAAGATTTTTCAAAAATGTGGTCGGGACAAACATGCACTTCGCAAATATTACTAAAATCATGCTGAATCCCAGCGTTCTAGCTTTCAAAGTTCCCGAGATCTTGACGTTCATACGGACGGACCAACGGACCAGATCGACTCGGCTAGTGATCCAAATCTAGAATATATATACCTTATAGGGAAACGCTTCCTTCTACTTGTTTCAAAACAGTAATCTAGTGTACCCTTTTACTTTACAAGTACCGGTAAAAAACTTGTTCTTACAACAAATATATATATTACAAGAAAGAAATATATTTTCTGATAGCTTTATAATTAGTGTGATGGCAAATACATGAAACAAAAATATAGTACAGCACCTGTTTTTAATTTTATACTACGCATTGCCAACTAATGGCAGTCAACCAATTAAATGGATTTTTGGTTTATTTGTTCATGTGGAAAACTTGTTCTGAATAACTCTATTTGTCTAAATGCAAATGTCAACATTTCGACTATGCATCGACGCACTTTGTGGACTCGAGCTCGAACAGCAATTAGTGCTACGATCAGCATGCGAGGCACGCACTTCCAGGGAACCGCTGCTCCTCCGCTCCAGAGCAACCCATACATTCCATCAGATCCATACCCACAAGAACTCGCAGCAGACCATTATACTTTTAGTTCGCCTGTGTGGATATGCTTTCTATCTATCTCAAACACGCAAAATAAAAAAGTACTAGTGCTAGGCTAATCATCTTTGAAATATCGGTTTTTATTAAGCTCATACATTATGATCGGGGCTTTCGACATACAGTTGGCTAATATGCTTTTAAATATGTTTAAAGTTCAATTTAAGAAATATTTGCTGCATAATTATACCCATTTACGTAATTTATAGACCATTTAAATTACAGCATTTTTCCGAAAAGATCCAATCGATTTCCAATGGTATAATCTTTTATAAATAAATATTTATAAATAAATACATATTTTATAACCACCAGAAAATTCTGGCCTTTCTCAGTCGGTTTGCAGTCGTTTGCAAAAGAATCAAGGAAGTCGACTATTATAAGTATTACATAAAAAATTGTAGAAGGCTTAATAAAAAATATAAAGAGTGTAAAACCAAATACATTGTGAACCAAAATTATTGTCCAGTACCTGTTTTTAGTTTTATACAAAGAATTGCCAACCAATGATAGATAACTAATTAAATAGATTTTTAGTTTATTCATTCATATGGTTTAAATAACAATATTTGGCTTGTGGCTAGAGCCCGAACAGCAATTAGTGGCTCGCACATACAACGGGGAACCACTCCTGATGCTCCTCCCCAAAGCAACGTATACCATACCCATATCCACACCCACTAGAACTTGCTTCGGACTAATGTTTTTCCATTCTACTTTAAGTTAAAGCGGTGTATATCCCAAGCACGTAGAAAAAAAAATTGGCAGTGTTCGAATTATTATCTTTGCAATACAGGATTTTTGTGGTTATTATTTAATATAATTATCTTGATATGTTGCTTATCGACTGTGATCTGGGCTTTTGGCATGAAGTCTTTTTATAATGGTTCAAAGTCCCATCCACAATATTTTCGCTGTATACATAAAACATAGCTATTAAAACAAATAGACAATTTTAATGATAGTATTTTTCTCGATAATAGCAAACTGAGCATGAATAATTTTATCTATTTTAATTGATGTTTTACCTGAACTAATTTGGAACGTTATTATTATTGGTAAATCCATATTTTAACCATAAGCAAACTCTGTTTTACCGCAGTCGTTTTGTTCCCTAATCCCAGTTTGGTCGTGGATGTAACAGCCATATTTATAAATTGGAACTATATCGGTATTAAGTTTATAGAAGGATAATTTAAAGGATAAAATCTGTGCTGAACCAGTATGCTAAATTTATCTCTTTAAAAAAGTTCGTTACAACATCCGTAAGAAAAATATACAGAATAACGCGAATTACAAAGTGAATAGATAAATCCAACGTTTATCATACCTTACTCAAAAAAGAAACAAGGAAGTAAGCTATTTAGAAAATATAAGAAGGCTTTTGAGCTGTATATAACTGCATTATTCTAATTATAATTGCATCATTTGTTAATAAATAAAGTGTTTTTCAAGTTTAACAGCCAGTTTAATATATACACCAAAAAGATATAATGGCAATCAAGCTGAATTTTATTGTCGTCTTTCTGATTTGTTGTAGATATTTCACAGAGGTAAGCATTTTTTTTAACTGAATTACCATATTTAAAGAGCTACTTTTAGGTTTATTCCCTAGTGGAATTTACAAACGTACAATGCGAGTCTCTGGATAAGGATTTTGCCTTATTTGATTATTGTTTTCTGAAGTCTGTCAACCGATCTTACAAATATGTTTCCCTCAAAGTTAAGCTTCTAAAGATACCCATAACCAAAATTAAGGTACATTGAAATTAATTTATATATTTATATTAAACAAGTTATTATTTTTTAATTCAGGTGAGCTTTGCTCTATATAAACGGGTGAATGGCTATTTGCCTTTTCTATACAATATGACTTTAGACGCCTGCAGATTCCTTAAATCGCCGAATCCCAATCCGATTGCCCTTTATTTTTACAGTTATTTCAAAGAGTATTCCAACATAAACCATACTTGCCCCTATAACGTAGGTATACCATATCCTAGTTTATTAATTAAATATTCATATTATATTCATTTTAGCATGATATTGTGCTGGATAAGATGCCATATGATAAGATAAATAATATGGTAACGAAAAAACTACCCTTTCCGGAGGGGAATTACCTGATTGAAGGGCACTGGATAGCCTACGACATTGATCGAGCTATAACTAAATTCTATTGGTCTCTTACTTAATATGAAAATACTATCAAAAATCAATGACAAGACACCATAAACATACAACTGTAATGCAAATAATGTATCTTAATTTAAAAGACGAGTTTAATTATGAATGTTTTTAAATCTATTTGTGTCTATATATCTTTATTGTGTCTACTTGTATCTTTCTAAAACATCACGTTGCTGAGCAACACAAAAAGCAAAACATTATAAAACACTAACTGCCTCGACTATGAGATACCATTTAGTGTCGAAGATACCGTTAGTGGCAAAGTAGTATGAAGATACTAAAATAAAAGGCAACTGTTGTTATTTTTGTTTCACTAAATGAATATACCTTTCTTGCAGTGCAGTGGAGTGCTCTATTCGCTTTACCGCAACGAACTCTTGCATTTGAGGTCGCTTTCCTCTTGGCAAGCGAAACAAAAGATCGGCCCATTAGAGGCGATTTTACATCATTTGAATGCAATTTAGCCGCAGCTTAGCTTAGCGTTATGTTCTATTTCTGTTCCGGCCCGGCACGAACTGCTGTCCAGGCCAAGTCAGCTGGAGAGGTAGGCAGAGATCAATCTGATGGCCAGTCTTCAGATTCTACTGTCATTTGGCATTCGGCGTCGAGCAAAAGAATCGTGCGGCACGGATGATCAGTTGTCGGCCTGCCAATTTGGGCCAGTCGCGATATATCTTCATGATGAGCCCCCCGTTTCGTGGCCAATTTGTGATTCTCCACGCAGAATCATTCGCTGTCTCAGAAGAGAGAAGAATCTGAGGAAAGATAACGTATTTTTGTGGAGGAGGGGAATTAACCTGACAGCTCAAGAGCTCAGATCTCAGATCTCCGAGATTCGGCCTCTGACTTGACCGGCTCTTAACGAGCGAAAGTGTTTCATTAACTCGTAAATGAATAATTTGAGTGTCGAGTCAACGAAAACGAAATCAAAATAAACCGAGACAGAAACAGAAACAGCAACAAAATCCAGCACTCACACCCGAGAAATGCTCGTAAAAATGTACATAATTTTTCAATCTCAATCTGGTTTTGCGCATTTCTATTTCGACTGTCGTTTGATCCACTTCCGACTGACGAAAAAACAACAAATTTTCATTGCCTCAGTGAAACTAATTTGAGGTGAAAATTGTCAAAATGGAAAAAGAAGCACAAAAATGTGGTAAAAAAAATAATGGGTGAAACACTGGAAATGCCTTGGTGACAGTTAGACAGAAAGAGCGAAAGATATGGGTGTGTTTATGCGTCTAGGATTCGGATTCGTACTCGGATTCGTCTGCTGGCTGGGATTTGGAAGTGGATTTGGCAACCTGTCGAGACAGCCTTGTCCCAGTCCGAATCCCCATCAGAGTGTCTCGTGCTGAGTCAGTGGCTTTGGTCTTTTGCCACTTTCTCCGACTGCAGTTATCAATGAGTCAGTTTGGATCGTTGGGGAATTTGCGTAAATGGTCGGTTATTACTGGGTCGCAAAAATGGGAAAAGAATGAGTACCAAGAGCCACAGCCTCTTCCTGTCTTTTTGTCGTGTTTTCTTTTCATGAGCGAGAACCGTAAACGGCTCAGATCTTAACTGCGACTAAAAATCAATTTCCGCAACGACATAGATAGGCGCATGCAAAACGCTCATATCTATAATGGTCACAGCTGCGGTCGGGATAATAGCACCCGGGGCTGAGCTCGTCAAAATTTATTGTTCAGCAATATTTAAATACTTTTGTAAAACAGAATAGAGGGCAAACTAAATAACTAGATCAAAAAAACTCCATCTATGTTCTCAATAAATAAATACGTGTATATAATACAGGCAGTAATACAATAAGTATAATTTTAATATATTTTCTTGGTTACAAATTGTACAATAGATATTTATTTTTCTAGGATCCACTGATCTCATGATGAAATAAATCTTCTCTTCCATATTTTAGCTAATTTTAAAGGTGAACTTGTTTTTGTTTTTCCGATTTAAGAAGCTGATATGTTTAAAATAATGTCATTTTTAGGATTTAATAAAAATGGATTAATTTGGCATGGATAACTAACCAAGTTCTTAGTTATGCCTTGTCTAAACCACCGAAGATTCCCCATATTTGCGGTATATTATATTTCTATCGACGCAACTCCTTCTGTGCGATCTCCTATAACAATCAGCCGACATAATGGGCGACCCACTCATCTTATAGCGGTTAGTGGGATCGGATGATAATGGAGTTGCCTCCCGCGATGCGCCATCCCAGATGTCGTGATTCCAAAGCGGAGTGCAACGGGTCCGGCTCCGGAATGGCCAGGGGAAATGGGAAATGGCCAAGAGCGAAGTGAACCGAGCACGGTGAACAGTGAGCAGTGAACTGTCGATTGGCCCAGTTCATGAACGTGGTAATTGCGCGGTTAGCGACATATAAAGCGGCACCAAGAAGAATCGCGACGCGAGGAGGCAACAAAGCGATCTCCGGGCCTTTTGTTTTTCGAGCTCTTTGGAGGTGATCACCTGTCCACCTTTTTAGACATTCTCAACGCTTTTATTGGTGCCAGTGCCAGTGCCAGTTGGTTTCGGAATGGCTGGCTTGAAAGAAGGCTCTTTGCTTCATGCCGCCGCCCTTTTTTCGGGTGGTTGGCGAAGTCTTAATTTCTAATTTCTTTTATTACAGACTGGTTCTTTCTTTTTATTGCCATTTTTTCGGTTTAACATCCATAATTTTGTTGCTTTGCCAGCCCGTTTGTGCGCGATTATTGTGCTCGGCCAGGCTTTTTGTGGTAATGTAACCAGTTTTGGACCTTCTGCACACCCGGTGCTTTATGGCATGTCTAACTAGTTTATGGCCCAAGTCGCGTCTTAGGGAGAGTCCGAAGATTCCGGCATGCTCCTGCACCTTTCTTGCAAATTAAGTTGTAAACTCCTAAGTAGCTCACCTGCCAGGTTTCGCTCCACTCAATTATCGTCCACCGTTGATGAAGACGGGTTCCATTTGAGAATAGTTCGGGGGTGATTACAAATTACTCCCTGTGATCGATTTGCACTTGAATTCAATCACAAACGTTGCACAGTTAAGATTATTTTGTGTGGGACTATTTTTAATTGATTCGTGGATTCACGGTATTTTATATTCCACGGACACTGCCAAAACAACAGAAACCACCGAATTCAAAAAGCCAACTGTTCGCGCCCGTGACTGAAGGTAAACTGAATACGGTGGTTACAAATCTCGGCGGTGTTGGTCTCCAACAGAAGAATGGAGTATGAAGAACTCTTTCGCTCTATCCGCTCTTTCTCTGCGCTCTTTCTCTGCGCTCTTTCTCTCCGGTTATCAGCGGAGTATCGTTATTCTTGTGTTATTCAAATGGTCATGAAAGGTATTTTATTGTGGACCAGCTACTGCAGTAGTTATAAAGAAAATTAAAATATACAAATGTGCAAACAAAAAGGAAAAGTTCGTTATCTTTTTGTTTGGAATGTCAATATACTTTCTTGTTTTTCAAATTTATTCGAATTGCCTTTCTGCATAACTGTTGGGAAGCAATTAATTTTCAAATCTTTTTTTTATTTAAATGATTAAATAAATTATATAAACCTAATTTCCAATATTTCATTTTAATTTTTAAGCAATTCAAATTGATTAAGGTAGAATGAATATTTAGTTTAAAACAAGAATTATTTTCTGCGGATGTACTAGTTGATGTTTATAGATTTTATTTACAACGCAGTCTAAAGATCAAATATATTTGTTGATTTCTAATATTTAAACAATTTAAAGTTAACAGAACCATTGATACTTGCACTTTTTATTTACAACGTAATACAAACAGCTAAAGTGGCGATTATTGCGGCATAATTTAGTTAGCAGTCACTGTATTTTCCTAACCAGCCACAATTGGGTTGTTCCAGGACCTTCCGATCATAGCCACCACATCGCGCTTTAGCTTGGGCCCAATCAAAGGATTCATTTGGGCCATATAGCAACAGAGCCAGAAGAGCCAGCAGCAGGCAGCGGTCAGCATCAGGATGCAGCGGATCAGGTTCTGATGAGGTCCTTTCGGGGTCATTATGGGCATGGCGATGCCCACGCCGCCCCACAAGGCGGTGAAGAACAGGACGGGAAAGAAAGCGGCACCCATTTTTATGCTTTAAATATTTGAAATACAATAATGTCCCAGATTTTACGGTATTTATTCCGAACCTACCGTTTTTTCCTAACTGCTGTATACGAAAAATCAATAGTTTTCGCACATTGTTATCGATATATTTATCTTCTTGAGATTATCGATAAGTATAATATTATTTTAATTATGTTTTTGTTGCATACAGATACAGATTCGGCCTTAACATGAATTAGGCTATCTAATAAGATTTAAGTAACATTAAAAATTAGAATTTTCTTCAATATATTATCATATGGGTCTTCGGAAACTACCGATAACATTTTAGTACAAGAAACAACCAGGTTGTCATCCCCGGGCGAAAACTAGCACGGATGCAAACCGCCGCATCGCTAACAAAAATATTTACAATTTTTCGTTGGCACACTTTTATACAATAGATTTTAGAGCAACTGCAATCACAGCGCCACCATGACGATGCGACCTGATGACCACCGAAGGAAATGGGACAAGAACGAGTACGAGAAGCTGGCGGCAGAGCGGCTGCTCAACCAGGTGGCACCAAAGGAAGAAGGTCTGTGAATAAATTCTTTGGTAGGGGACTCGTAATTCACCGCTTCCCGATTCCCTACAGAACCAGTGCAGCGGGAGAACCTCAAACGACGCGACTACAAGGTGGACCTGGACAGCAAGCTGGGCAAGAGCGTTGTCATCAACAAGAACACACCTACCTCGCAATCCGGTGGCTATTACTGTAACGTTTGCGACTGCGTGGTCAAGGACTCCATCAACTTCCTGGACCACATCAATGGCAAAAAGCACCAGCGTAATCTGGGCATGTCCATGAAGGTGGAGCGGAGCACCGTCGACCAGGTGAAGGAGCGCTTCCAGCAGAACAAAAAGAAGATGGAGGAGAAGCAGAAGGACTACGAGCTCGAGCGCCGCCTAAGGGAGGCCAAGGAGGAGGAGGATCGTTACAAGGAACACCGCAAGGAGAAGCGGAAAGAGCGGAAGCGCAAGGCCGAGGACACGGACTTTGAGACCGGCGGCATGCCAGACGACATGGCCGCCATTATGGGCTTCTCCGGTTTCGGTGGATCAAAGAAGAACTCGTAGGAACTAAGTGTTGAGCCTGCCCCTCCCCTCCAACTTTAGATATACCGTGAAATAGACTCTAAACACAAAACTACGCGTCTAGTTTAGCTTGTGACATTTATTTTGTATATAATTTCACACCAGTTCAGACACCAGCTACCCGGCTGTTCCCAGTTAGAATAATTTAATAAGCAGTCAGAATGCAAAAATTACTAAAAACCATTTCACTAAATCTAAGCATACGGCCGTGGAGCATCTGCGGAATGAGCTTAGGTGAACACAAATCCCTGCTCAGTGGGTATGTCCCACGGCATGGTAAAGAACTCCCCGGGCAATTGGGTGCAGTGCGTCGAGTTGTAGTCGCGTAAATGCTTGCGCAACTGAAAGGTACACAGGATTATATATATTGAAACTTTAAACTGCCGAATAAACCCACCAAGAACACAGCCATGAGGTTGCGCACTTCCTCCGAGTAATCTGCTCCAATGTTCATGGGGAAGGACTTGCCCTCGTCGGAGGCGTATGTGATCAGGCGCGACATACATAGCTTCTCTTCGGCGGCGGGGATACTGTATGGTTCCAGGGGCTTGGACAGCAACCCCTTGGCCTTGTTCAACTGGGAAGCCCCAAAAATGTTTGGATACCGGTGCTTGAGCACTGACAAAACCAAGAAATTGCCGCGATTTGTGTCAATGTGATTGTCCCTGAGGAAAATCAATGGATTTAATTTTAAGAAATACCTCCGCTTAAGCGCCAAACTTATCACTCACTCTGCAATAATCTCATCCTCAGTGCGGCGAATAAAGGATATGGGTCCATTGAACTCGTTGGCTAGTTCGGCATTGTTCAAATTACAATAGTTACGAATGGCTACCTTGACAATGCCCGCCAGTGCAGCTGGCATGCGAGGAACGGCCAAGTAGAGCACATCGTCGAAGGTGGCGTCCAGCACCACTCCCTTGACTTCCGGATACACAGAAGCAGCGTACAGTGTACTGAAGCCACCAATGCTCCAGCCATACAGAATGATATCCTCTACGGCGAACCCGAGATTATTGATGGCAAACTGCACCACGGCATCGATGGCATTCTTGTCCTGGTGTGGATAAGGAGTGCCTGTGCTGCCGGCGAATCCGGGATGATTCCAGCCCAGAACGGAATACTTTAAGGCCACTGGGGTGCTCATGATGCCCACTTCATAGAAGCCGGCGTTGCCCTCGGAGCAAATGACCAGAGTCTTGCCATTTCCCACGTTGTCGTTGCGGTTGTCAATAAACAACGTATCAATTTCGTTCGAATCAATAGTCTTAACCTTGTAGCGGATGCCGTTGTCATCCTCGATGAGCTTGGCGCGTCCGGAGATCAGCATGGGTCCTGCAAATTGAGATTATTAGTTTATGTATTAGTCCCTGTGGCTGAGTCATTTTCAAGCTTGTTATCGGAATTTGTTTTTACAGACTTTACACCAACAGTATATAGATACGAATGACCATAGTATGACTAATAATTCTGTAGTTATGTGTAACCTGTTGGAGACATTGCGCACAACTGTTTGTTTTATGGGTTCAAGCGAATGAGGCTTGACCGATTGCAGCTTAGCAAGATTTCAGTCCGCTACATATGTACATCATTCTTACTCATGAATTTCTGCACCAGCTTGACCGAACCCGGATAGATCATAGAGAGCCCAAACGTTTTGATGGCCAGATAGGCAATAGCCTCGCAGGGCAGTGTCGCCAGCTGGATGGGCTCTCGCCTTTTGGCCGTGACCACCGGCTTTTTGGTGTCCCTGAAAAAAAGTGTGTTGTTATTCTAGCACACTGCAAAGGTGAAGCCCACTCACCCGGTTAGAGCCTTCACATCAAAGTCCACCGGCCAGGCGTAGAACTCGATGTCGAATCGACGCAGCTCGCTGTTGGCATCTCCCGGTGCCTTGGTGGCCTTTGCCCGGACGAGGGCCTTAATCATGTTGGAGTAGGAGCGCGATTGCTTGCGCCCCAAACCGCGCATAACCAGCGATATGATGACGATGAGGCCCACGCTGGTGGTGATCTTGGCCAGCGTCGGCATGGAGTCGGTCACCAGGTAACCGCGTCGGTAGAGGAATGTGACGAGCAGCGGGGAAGTGTAGTAGCCCACCGACCACATAACAGATAGCTGCAAAGGGGAATGTCGACTTTATACATTACCATATGCTCCAGTTTAGTTTTTTTCCCATGGGATCGCAGGGCACTTACCGTCGATAGAATCTGCTCCCCGAACTTTTCAACGGCACCTGCCTCGTACATCTTGCGCTGGGGCTCCGGCACACCGCGGTACTCCATGTAGAGATTTGGGCCAAATACGTAATTAAGGAAATTCATCTTGGTTCGGATCGGAGTCGGTATGTCTGGATATATCTAATTTTTCTATTTTATTTTATTGTAATTGATGTGAAAGCTGTTCCAGGGTGTCGCACTCACAAACAGATGTTTCACATCAATTACCAGGGCTACCTCATCAGATACCCAACGGTATTAATTGTAAGCCTAAAAACGATGGTCTGAATTATAAAAGGCAACAAAATATACAAAGAGGATGTTTAATAATTTGGGGATTAATATGTATGAATGTATTATTTTAAATGTTGTATTAAATTTAATTCGAAATTGCAAACTTAAAGCTCTCACAAATATGTACCTTTTAGAACTAGTTCCCTTAATTGCTGTTATCACAGAAATTCCCAGCCCTGGTTCTACCCCCAGGAATTTATTCCCAGTTGATAGACAAAAACGCCGGCTTTAAAATGGAAAAGTTTAATAAAGCGCAAGCTAAAAATTTGGCTGCCGCCCAAAAACTGGTGGACACCTACGCCTCCAGCTCCGAGGATGAAGGCGAACTCGATGAGAAGCACATTTTGGGTAAATCAACCGATGCTCGTGACGTGTCATTCAAAACCACCAACAATTGTTTTTTTATCTTTTAAGAACTCCTATACAAGAACTACAAACCGTCGGATAGCGTAGGAAGCTCAAAGGATGCAGCCCGTACCAGTACATTCCTGGAGAACACTCTCCACTCGGGAGCCGCTACCTGTCTTATTTGTATCGGAAGCATCCGACGGGTGGAGGCCATTTGGTCGTGCGAGAGCTGTTACTGCTTCTTCCACTTGAACTGCATCCAGCGGTGGGCCAACGACAGCATGATGCAGATGAAGGTGAAGGCGGCGGAGCAGCAGAACGGTCAGGGCCACTACAATCACCTGGGCGAATTTGTGCCGCCCAAGCGACAGAAATCCCTGCACTGGTGCTGTCCTCAGTGCCGCAGGGACTACCAACCGGGCGATAAGCCCACGCAGTATAACTGCTTCTGTGGCAAGGAGGTGAATCCAGAAAACCAGCCCTTCCTTGTGCCCCACTCCTGCGGAGAGATCTGCGGGAAGCTGCTGCAACCAAAGTGTGGGCACGATTGCAAGCTGCTATGTCATCCGGGGCCATGTCCTCCTTGTGCGCAGCAGGCGCAGGTCTCCTGCCTGTGTGGTAAATCCAGTCCTAGGTCCGTGAGATGCATTGACAAGCAGTGGAGGTGTCAGCAGGCTGTAAGTCCTAACGTATTAAAAAGTGTTTCCTCACCTATTTCCCTAATAAAATAATTATTTTCCAGTGCAAGGATCTTCTGGCGTGTGGCAAGCACAAGTGCAATCAGGTGTGTCATCAGCCAGGAAAGTGTCCTCCGTGCACCAGCAAAAGCTTACAACCTTGCGAGTGCCAGAGGGAGTCGAAGATGGTCAATTGCTCTGATCGGAAATGGAAGTGTCAGAATGTAAGAATAGGCTTTTAAAAATGAAGCATATAACAACGTTTAATTTCCTCTTCAGGTGTGTGGAGCTCCGTTCAATTGTGGCTTGCACATTTGCGAGAAGGTCTGTCATGCAGGACCCTGCGGCGATGGAGAATGTCCTTTGCAAGTCAGGAGTTGCCCATGTGGCAAGAATGTATGTTTTATCTTCATCTAGAAGATTATTTTAATTTATGATTACCTAATCCCGTAGACTCAGGTAAGACCATG